GCGGCTGCTCTGTTCGCCCTATGGTAGGGCCGGCTCTGCCCACAGGGCGGAAAGAGTTGAAAGAAAACAGTCCAATACTGTATATATATACGAGTCTAGTTGCAGAAACATATTGGCTAGCTAAGACTGACCATAGTGCCTCTAGAGCAGTGTTTCTTAACAGGAGCCGTGCCCCTTGGGGGTCCGTAAGAAGTTTGCCGCAAAATTTATGCATATTTGAGTGAAAAAGGGTTTTCAACTATAAGCGTAAAAAAACAAAAAAACGCAATCGATTGCGATTAGATGTCTGCATGCGGATAGCATTACATACAATTGAACCAAGAATTAACAAATTGGTTGAGGATATTCAGCAGCAGAAATCTCATTAAATTATTTTCGAATATTTTTTTGTTTTTTCTATGAATTTTTAAATGTTTCTTATTTTATTTTTTTTTTAAATTAATAAGTTTTTATGTTTAATTGTGAAGTTTGAATGTTATTTAAATAGATAATGAAATAATAGCTATGTTTTACATTTATTATAAAAAAATATAGCAATAATAAAAAAATCAATTTATTATAGATAATTTAACAAATATAAATTATTAAAAAAATGGAGGTCACTAAAAATTATGAAATATTTGGTGGGCCACGGGTATAAAAAGGTTAAAGAAAAAAATTAACTGATTGCCCCTGGAAGTCGGCTTCTTATAGAAACACAGCTTCCCTATCATCAAATATCACGGCACGCCACTGGTCTGCTTACTGCATAGTCGCGTACCGAAATATCAGTTTAAATCGCGGGAGAGGTCAAAATCGATGTTTAATTCGATCCCCAACCGGAGATGGTTGATCTTAAGACTGTCGTCGTCATCTTTCTTTCTCGCGGATTCATATGGAGACTCTAGCCTGTTAGTTTTTTCTCCGAAGCATTTCGTCGTAGTCCCAACGCCATCTAGGTGGCGTTGGTCGTCCTCGCCTTCCAGCATTGACGTCATTTATTAATAGCCGCATTGTAGCAAAATATATAATCAAACATAATTTTAAAAAATTAATAATACTATAAATAAATATGATATATCAATTAATACTTTTAAATAAAATATAATAAATTTTATTAAATTATAGAGTCATATATATAAATAAGGAATCAATAGAAAAAAAAATTGTAGCAGGCTCATTGACATTTTCTCCTATTTTCTATATCACGTGATAACAGCTAGTCATGTGTTTTAAAGATTTTTCTGTAAATTTTTGTTTCGTATTATAAAATGTATTGAGAATATATTATGTTTCCGTTCCAGTTATTATCGTGAATTATTTTGAAATTGTTTCAGCTTCTCTTATGGCGAATTTGTGTTACGCATGGAAAAAATTCTTAATATTATTATTTACTTATCTAGTCTTTTCCATTGCAAAATGTGAAGTTAAGAGAAATGTAAGTGATAAATATTGTTATTTTAATTTTAACATGTAACAGTTATTAAATACATATAAAACCTAATAGTTAATTTAGGCATAAGTTACTTTAGATAATTTGTGTATACAATATATACATAGAAGTCAAAATGTGTATATCAGCTCTCAACTTGTGATTTTGATAAGAGCTGATATAGCCAAAAGAACTGACATTTTCCCAAAATTTTAATCAAAATATAGTGGTTTTGACAATTTTGATTGACTTCTCTAGGGCAAAATGTACAGAAATGGTAAAATAAATTATTAAATATGATATAAGATTATTTTATTAGATTTTGATCATTTTGTACTAGTTTTATTACCACAGTGTGATGTAAAAGAACAATTTTCCTAAATATAGAATTTAGACAGCACTTGGTCACGATTTTTCTTATGTGGCTGCATAAACATTTATTCATAAACATTATTCTTCTGCTTAAAAAAAATCTTCAAAAGAGTTGTGTATATTTTTTCTTTTGCTTTCTTTGACAGCCAAAGAAAAAATATATACAGCACTCAATTGAAGAATATTTATGGTTGACCTTGAGAAAAGTCGTAAAAAACAATTGAAAATGTTTTAGTTATTAAAATTTTTGTTGTGTTTTAAGGTTGTTTGAGTGTGTTTATTGACAATCGACTGTAACAACAAGAAAAAAAGGATTAGTAGATTTATTTATATGAAAAAGAATTGTCCAATATTCAATAAATGTAAGAAATGGAAATTGGAATTATCAATGAAAAAGCTGACAAATGCCAAATATAGTAGATGTGTACTACATGGAACCCTTGAAAAACGGACTGCCCATGCAAAACACGTATGGTTGAGAGCTCTGGTATATATATATATATGTTAAGTAAAGGGTTCTATACCATTTGACATATCTGCATCAAATTTGGCATGAATGTTCTGCAACAACCTAGAAAAAATACTTTGGTGGTCCCCACTCCAACCAACCCTCAAGCCCATTTAAGCTCAAGCAATTTTTTGTTTTTTATAGTTTTATTATTGTAAACACACTGGTCAGTAAATATATATTTCGGTACTAAGAGCATTGTTTTTATCACCCTCTTTTGATCTGATCTCCCCATTCCCTTGAAAGCCCGAGCAATGCCAGGCACACACGGCTAGTATGCACATAAATAGAAATTTAACTTAAAGTAACTTTATCTGTAATTTGTATACACAATGTTGAAATTGGAAAATAAAAATTAAATTGAATTGGGTAAGATTCTAACTCTGAATAAGAGTGTAGTAATCTCCTGCCTTTTCATTTAGAGTTGGAATCTTGCCTTAAATTTGCCCCTGTAATAGGTATTGCAAATATTTAAATGTTTATCTAACTTAATTTTTTAAAATGGAGATTCATTATGATTAGAAGTGTAGCTATTGTTATCCAGACTTTAAAGTATAAATTTATGTATCATCTGTGCTTAATGTCAGGCAATTTTTTAATAGTTTTTTATTATATCATATCTCTTTCTTCATGAAAATGTTTTGAAACTTCCATAATGCAAGTGGCATGATAAAGAACTATTAAAATAATTATTGTTTTTTGTTTCAAGAGAGCTTAAGAATGAGAGATTATATAAAATCATAATAAGACAGTTAAAGTTAAGCTATGTGAATGCTTATCTACAATATTGAATGATATAAATGAGACAAGAAATCAACTATGGTGTACATATTTTTATTTTTTTATTTTTTAGAATATGACTAAGGAATAGAAATGGCACAATTACATTTATAATTGCTTTAACAATATCATAAACCTATATGAATATAAAATGTGGCCATAATTAAACTGACATTACTCAAAGCCATCTGTAGCTTGATCTAACAATCAGAATGGCATCAAATTTGGTAGGAAGATTATACAGTAATACCCCGAACTTACGCGATAGGTGGAACCGAGCGATAACCGCGTAAGTCGGGGTATAATTTCGCAATTTGTGTAAAATCCAAGTCAGATGTATGTAAGCTAATAAATGTTCTTGTTAATCTTATCTCATCTTTTGATTCGTTCACAGTTACAAGAAATCACCACATAAAGTCTTTCAAGTCTCCATAGATACAGCAAACACAAAAATAGCTACAATTTATTTTGTGTTATTTATGTGTCGATTCCACACAACATGTCAGAACATGTAAGCTGAACAATAGTGTGGGGGGAGTGAGTAATCAAGAGTTGCGTGGCGTTCAAACAAAAGACGAATCGACGAGATTTGAAAATCGCATAACTCCGGGTTCGCGTAAGTCGAGGTGTTACTGTATTTAAAAAAAAAATTAGTTCCAAATGTCACCAATAGGGGAAAATATGATACTGTGCATTGTAAAAAGGTTAAAATGGACAGACAAGTGAATAACATCTTTTATCAGCACATTCTTTTCCCCAAGTTCAATGTGGCCACTATTCTTGTGGACCAGATATTGTATCCTGTGCACAGCATTCTCTACAATAGAATATAACATACCTGAAGGAAATGTTCAACGTGATCTTTATAAATTGATTTTTAAAGATAATCAGGTTTTCTTGGACTTCAAATAACCTCACAGCCAAGTTGTGTGTTTAGAAATATGATGTCCTTAGGCACACAATTTGCAGATATTCCCCAAATTAATAGTGCCACTTTTACATTGAATGATTTTATTTTATAACTAGCTGCAAGGACCCGCTTCGCTGGGTTTTTAAAAGTAATGATAGTGAAGATTAAGATAATTACATTATAGCCAATCTTACCCATTTTCACAGAATGCAAGAATTAGGTCCCCCGTTTCTGATTAGAGATCTGGTCCCGATTCTATTTCTGAACGTCTCCTGTTCACGTCAAGTCAAACGAACTATTTTCAAC